TGACTGGGGTAATGGGGGTAGGTGTGTCAGAGACAATAAGATTGGCAAGGGATAGAACAGGGTTTAGGGCTGTTATACATAGGGTCACTATGTATATGCAGGCAACTCAACAGCACATAACAACAGGTATATATAATACACGAGCTTGGTGGTGCAGTATGGAGTGGGCTCCAGAGTAGAAAGATGAGTACTTTCCTCTCATGCAATTTACTGTCTCAGAAACCTGATGGAGGGACACTATGCATAATGAAGTCTTTTGGAATGAATTTTAACTAAGTTTCATTTTGGTGAAAGAGTCTCAGTAATTTTCAATTTCTTTTTCAGGATAGTTTCTAGAAGTTCAATGAGCATCTTTTTTAAATTTTATACTGGTTTACATAAAACGTTCATATACATTGTTTTTCACTCTGGATCTTTCTCCTTTCCTTTACCTACCTCTCCCTCCATCCATCAAATTGTGTGACCCTATGATTAAGCACCCTCATCTTTGGATTCTCACACTTGTTCTACAAAATGTTCTTATACAGTATTTGTCCTTATGGAACTGAGTTAGCTCACTTAGTGCTCTCCAGTCTCTCCCATGCTATGTAGTAACTACACAGTATTCCATTGTGTGAATGTACCATAATTTCTCAATCCATTCCATTGTGGTTGGACATTTGGGCTGTTTCCATGTTCTTATGGTGAATAACACTGTCAATGTGCATCTTTAACTTAAAGTCCTCCATTCTCTTTGATCCAGTTAGAATTTTCACAAAGAAATTGCAATCCTCTGACAGTAGAACTTCACATCTCTAGCTCCCACACTTTGAAACTTTGAAGCTTTTCAGCCCTGAATGCAAACAAAAGAAAAATGCATTCTAAACTTTATTGGGGGGACTCAAACTCCATGCTGGGAGGGAAGAAAAATTAAGAAAGAGGAACAGAAAAAGGAGTTATGTAACAGATTAGAAAAAAAAAATTAGAAGAAAGGACTGTATTGTTGGGAAGCAGAGAATCAATAATGACATCAGGATCTGATGGTGGGGCCACAAGCTGTTTTTCTCTAGATTAAGCCCCAAGTCTTCCTCACCACTCAGTCTTTCTTATTTTACTTCTCAGGGTCAATATCTAGGTTTATTTTTCTTACTTAACCTTCTTATTGCATGTCTTTCTCTTTATTGCTTGTTTAGCAAATTTACTTTCCCAAGTTCTAACCTTTGATGTCCTTCACATGAAGGCAATAGTTTTTTTGGCATTTTCCAATAGCTATTGTCCACCTATATTCTTTCTTACCTGTTCTTTATCATTTTGGAATATACCCTAAAGAAACCCTAACCACCACCCAAGCAGATATATGCACACCCATGTT